AACAAAGTCCAGCTATAGGGTAATGTTCAACAATTCACACAATTTTAGACTGAAAGGCACATGAGATTCTGCAACAGACTGGCGACCTGTCCAGAGTGACCCTGCCTCTCGCCCAGAACGTTAGCTGGAGAGGCACCAGCAACCCTCCCGACCCCACAAAGGGACAAGGGTGTCTTGAAAATGGATGGATGAGATTATACTTACTAAATATTTCAGTCACCAAGAGCTGGTGACCAGAAAGACTTCTCTCTCCACCCAGTCTGAATAGATCTCTGCTGCTCTGCTTGGTGGTTTGAGAGGATTTTGGATAAAATGTTGCAGACAGCAGATCAGGTCCCTCTGAGATCCAGCTAAAAAAGTAACACAGAGAATTTAAAAGTTAATATTTAAACAGTACTGCACCTGATGGAAGGAAAGAATAATGTGAAGAGAAAGGCTAATTATGTTTTCAAAAAATTATACATACTATTTATTTCTGAACAACTCCTGATTCCAGTTTTTGGTTCAGGACTTCTAATTTCTCTGCAGTGGAGGCTGGAAGGCCGAGCTCATCCAGTGAGTCCATCTCTTCAGCAGAACCAGACGGGTCAGAACGGCTCGCAGCATCCCGGGGTTTCCCAGGCAAACTCCTTCAACTCCTTAAGGCTTTGAAGACGTTACACAGAATGCTTCAGTCTGCAAAGAATAATAATAAAAAAGCTGTAATGTAAAATAATAATTTATTACAATGTAGACTGGGGGTGTTCAGCCCTGCAGGTCAGGACTTTGTCCTGCTTTAGATGAGTCTCTGCTGCAGCTCACCTGGATTAACGCAGGAAAACTAAAACAGACAAAACTCCCACCACACAAACCTTTATTTACATGTAACTCTCTTATTCATGTTGTCAACTAATCAAATCCAAAAATGCCCTACATCTATAAATAATTTAATTAAAAATATGATACATACACAAAGTGTAGTCACTGTTTTTACATGTAGGTTAAATTTACCTGATAGAGGAATTTCCAGTTGAACGGAGTCGGTTAGTGGAGTTACTGGTTGGACTAAACAGCTACAGGTGAACACAGAGCAGCTGGTGGATGAGATGGTGAAGGTGGAGGACAGGTGGGAGGCTGTGGCTGCTGGAGCTGCTGGTCATGGGGGAGATTTTCTGGATCTGTGGCTTTTCCTAAAAATCTGAATAGATCTCAGTTCACCTGTAACAAAAACATTTAATTAAAAACCTGCATAAACATCAGCGTGATTTATTTAATTAATCAAAGTTTTGTCCAATAATACTTGATTATCATGCATTTCTAAGTGGTCTGTAATACTGTAGTAACTCCTAAACACATTGAAGCAACATAAAGGGATCAAACTGAAGGAAACCATGAACAGCTCTCTCTCTCTCTCTTTGCAGCTAATAATCCTAATTACTGCCTTACAAAAACTTTTTACCTGATCCTCTTGGGCTTCTGCTTTGAGGTTTGACATCTTCAGCCAGACGACATTTCTGTATGACTTTCAAGTTGTCACCTGAAATTACATGAGAAAAAAAAAAATCATTACTTTAATCAAATAGGAAACATTCAAACATAAACACAATAATGTCCATTAAGAAAGAATATGACCAACTCTGAGCATCCTCTTCATCAGAAAAACAGTGTCTTCAGTCAGAGGCTGTAACACAGACTGCTACAGGAGGTCCTTCCTGCTCACAGCCATCAGCATCAACAACTCTTTGAAGGACCTTGAAATAATAAGATAAACATTAGATCTAATTGGCAAATTAACTAACACTGAATTAAGCAGAACATCACCCAGTAGCTTGTGCTGTGATACCAACAAATGTTGTGCTATTAATATGTAGAGCTGCATATTATTTTGTAGTTGATGATCCAGAGTGAAGGAAAAGACAGACAGTGTTTACAGTAGCTCAGGATAAACCACAGGCTCAACAATAACATGCTACTATGGATCAGACTGAACATTTAG